TGCACTTTGGATGGGTAAATGCAGAGCACTAATTCCGAGTATGGGTCACCATACTTGGCCACATGTTACGTCACTTTCACTTTTTTTTTTTTTATGTAGGTTGATTAGGTTAATATTTTGGGTTGAATAAAATCAATTATTCCATTGTCTGTCTGAATACTCGATTCTGATTGGCTGGCAGGTATGCATTAAAACTGTTTAATGCACAGGTAGTTCCAAGTCAATTTAATCACCGTTCTATATTAACTTTAATTGATGCACACACACACACATCACTCGCACATAAACACAGTGAGAGGGAGAGAGCTCAGAGATTGCAGAATGCGCTGCGCACACACAGAAACTTATTGTCGGTGCTGCCCCGCGACTTCAATTAATAAAATAGCGTATCTTGTCAAAAGACCCGGTATTTCGGTACCAAGTCGGTACTAAAAACCCTAAAACAGACAACAGTTTACAGATGTTTTTCAGCGGCAGCAGAACTGACTAAACTTTTTGGTGAAACTTGTTTACTTTTTTCATACTTTTATTACTTGTGGAAAAACTTGAAACAATTTTAAATAAGTATAAAGAATGGCATTGGTTTTGTACGTTTAATTTTTGTTTAACGTTATTAATAAAAATGTTGTTCAATTAGCATGTTTTTGTGTTTTGCTTTGGTACCGAAATTGGTACAGAGAACCGTGGATTTCCACTGGTATTGGTACCGAATACTGAAATTTTGGTACCGTGACAACACTAATGGATACTAGATCGCTATATTATCATCCTCAGCAAAGAGGTAAAATCGAAGTAACTAAACAGCTTCCTTGTTTGTAGAGAGAGACGCGCAGACACAGGTAACTCACACACACAATTTATAAATGAGAGAATGTACAAAGGTGTTGTAACTATAATAAAAGTTTTGCTGTTCACTTTAATAATCTTGTGATGTGACATGGTTTTCTTAAACTACAGATATTCAGTGTAGTCTCTCAGAGACCTACAGATCATATTTACATTAATACAAATGCACACATGCACTAAAAATGAATCCAAAACCAACACCTCCTATCTAAATATGCTAGAATTGTATATTACATAATATCTATGACTGTATAGCAGATTAGCAGACTTTATGAATTAATTATAGACCCACATTGTACTCATTATAAGCCCACATTATACCTTTAGCATTATAATGGTTTTCATGAACAAAGATGACTGTGGGATGAAGTTTTATATTTCAAAATATGGAAACTTTGGGTTTGGCTTCATTAAATGCTGAAACACTGAAACACAAGTGTCTGTCTTAAATATTTAGATATGTTAAAGAAATCAAGACAGAAACCAGTTTTTTGTTTGACATAAAGAACAAAGTATACACTAGTATGTACACTAGTGACATCATGGTTTTAGTTTACTCAGGTTTGCCGGAACTGTTGCCGTTGTCCTGACCAACTTCTCGGGATGGTCTACCCACACTATATTCTGTCAATACAGGGTAAAGGTTTGAGGTTTGTCTAGCTTCATGTTGAAAGCACATCCTGCCTGATAAAATGTGCTACCACATTTTTAGCACATTTATCAAGCTGATATTACTTTTAACAGTTTTTTTGTGCCTTACTCTATGTGCCAAAATGGTTTTAAATAGGTTTCATTTTCAGAACTCTGAGACTAAATCCGTTGTTTCCATCTTCCCTTAGGCTTAGCAAATAATATATTTGAATAAACAGATAACAATAACAACCAACTATAACGGCACAGAGGAACAATATCATTGTAATAACTTTAAAAATGATTTTGTTTTCCAGCTGATGACTAATAAAAACACGGACAGTTAATCAGAATCCGCCCAACTTTAAAAAGCTTGAGCATTTAAAGTGGCAGATGACGTAAGCAGCCTGTGCTTATAATAAACAGAACTTTATAGTTAATATTCTTATTGTGAAAAGGTCTTTAAGTTCTGAATACCAACCCTTGTAGAGATGATACTTTTATCCTATGTGTCATCTAAAACAAACAGTATTATGAAAATACATGCAAATAACAGTTGACTGGAACTGACCACATCTGTGTATCACTATTAAAATTACTTTAGTACTGAGAAACATGGTCAGGTTGTAATTACCTAAAATTCTCATTATAAATGAGTCAAATTGATAAGACCTTTTAGATAAGATTCAAGAGGGCTGCTTTTCCATCTGAACATGAGGTCAAATGTACCCCTAGATTAAATCTATATGGTCAGACTTGAGATCAAATGCAAGTCATTGGAAATTCTCTGACGATATCACGGTTGAAGGTGGCAAATGGAAATGTGGTCGCCCAGGGGCTTTTCTTTTTGTTTTTGTCTTCTTTTCTTCATTCTATAGTAATAACCAGGGGTGAGACTGCAGATTCGAGACTTGACTCGGACTCGAGTCCCAAATTTGATGACTTACGACTCGACTCGACATAATTAAAGAAGACTTGAGACTCGACTTATGCCGAGTTAACACTGCACGATTTTAGCCCGATTTTTCACTCGCCGACAGGGGCCTCAGGTGTGTTTAATTAGGGTTGGACCTAACCTCGCCGGGGCCCGGCCCCTCCAGGCCCGAGTTTGGACAGCCCTGGTCTAGCGATCTCCGCTCGTGAAAAGCGCTGCCCTGTCCGTTTGCATTTGCATGTGTATTTTATTGTATTTAAACCTCCATTAAGTTTAAAGTTAATCCATAATCGAGATTTAAATCTGAGTTTAAAGTTATGGTGCAACAGGATTAAAGTTAATCTTAAATATAACTTAAATCCAGGATCAAAATGATGGGTTAAAAATGTAAACCTGCTTATTTTTAAAGGTTTAAAGTTTGGTGCAACTGAATTATTAGATAAACCTTGATTTAATCTAGATTTAAAAATTAATCATTGCAAACTATTTAGCTATAATTTGAAGAAGAAAAAATGCACATTAGGCCTAATGTCTGAAGTGGGCAAGCGGCAATAGGCCTAATGATCATTTAAAATATCATTTGAAGAAGTGTTTCTTTAAATGAATGAATTCACGTGTTGTAAATCAGTCTGTAGGCCAATAGCGCACACAGCCCCTAAATTTAGTGATCAACTATGCATATTATAAACATTATTAACATTTAACATACAACATTTGTTTCTATTAAATGATTTTGTCTTTGCTACTCTTAGTTATAAAGGATGATAGCACAGCATTTTTGAATGATTGTCTTCACGAGTTTGTCTGCATCCTTAAATCCAGGATCAAAATGATGGGTTAAAAATGTAAACCTGCTTATTTTTAAAGGTTTGAAGTTTGGTGCAACAGAATTATTAGATAAACCTTGATTTAATCTAGATTTAAAATGAATCATTGCAAACCATTCAGCTATAATTTGAAGAAGAAAATGCACATTAGGCCTAATGTCTGAAGTGAGCAAGCGGCAATAGGCCTAATGATCATTTAAAATATAATTTGAAGGAGTGTTTCTTTCACAAAATGGGTATTGTATATATAACTATAAAATACAGGCTACTCAATTTTTCTCCCTCTTGCAGGCTCTCATGTCACTTCCATTTCTTTCAGGATAAATGAATGAATTCACATGTTGTAAATCTGTCTGTAGGCCAATAGCACACACAGCCCCTAAATTTAGCGATCAACTATGCATATTATAAACTTAACATTTAACATACAACATTTTTTTCTATTAAATTATTTTGTCTTTGTTATTCTTATAAAGGAAGGTAGCACAGCATTTTTTAATGATTGTCTTCACGAGTTTGTCTGCATCCATATTGCATGTTTCCTCTCACTTGTATGCTAGCAGTTATTTCTTCTAGTTGTTTCAAAGCAGTTCTTTCTGCGTTTCCGCTCACATATTTTTAAATCTGTTTCATTGGCTTCGATATAACACCTAGGAGCATATATTCTTATGCACACATGCAAAGTATGTTGCAGCTGTTATTTTTATGAAATTATGTTGTCTTTGCTATGCTGTTACTAATAAAATAGTTTTTCTTTTTCACTGCTTGTCCTATTTTGGCACAATCCCTATATTGAACTTGAGTAGTTTTACTAAGGGCACCCATCTCGCATGAAATTGAACTATGTCAAACATATTAAGTTGAGGACTTGCAACTCGACTTGGACTTGCCTGTCTCGACTCGAGACTTGAATGCAAAGACTCGAGACTTACTTGTGACTTGCAAAACAATGACTTGGTCCCACCTCTGGTAATAACCACACTAAAATTGTAACATTTTAATTGCTGCCTAATTTGTTTTATAAATGTATCACTTTGAATGTGTGCAGTTATGAAGAAATTCAACTTGAAAATCAAGAATTAAGTAAAAATGACAGTACTTATGACAATCTATGACACTGTTTCAATTAATATTTTCTGAACTGAATTAAGCTGAACTGAAAACATCTGTAGTCCACATATTTACAACGATGCATCTAGATATTAACATTAATAAATAAAACATAAGGCCTATGACCGAAAGTCTTGGGTTTTGAATTTATCACGATCGTAGCTTTAGATATCGCTTCATTTCGCTGGAAACTGTGGTAAAACAGACACGCGGATTACTCACATGGTGTGCTGGAGTTCATTACCACGGCCGGTGAATGATTATTCTCCGCTGTCGCCTGCCGTTATCCACACTAAGACAAGTTGTAGGTCCTCACAGGAGATGAGTAGTGAAAATGTCGCTGAAGCATCGCGTGCCGTCTGTCTGTTGACCGAGTGGGTTCTGTTTCTTCTGTTTCCGCTGCAGACGAGCTGAACTCTGCAATCAGACAGAAACTGGTGAGGGTTTTCTGACAAAACTATCACGCGCTCACGAGTCCGCCTCTGCAGCGCGCGCGGTACGCTTAATCGAACAAGAAGCCAAATAATTACACTTTACACACACAAACTGCAGACGCATTTTGTGACTGATTATGAGGCATCTTGTCACACTATATGGTTTAGGAGCCTTCTTAATAGACACGCTTTTTAGCAAAAATTAAACAGTAAAAATTATGAAACTCATAACAGTTAAAAATATCAACCTTCGAGCAACAAATATGATAAATAGACTTATTTAGTGTGGGTTTTACTGTGTTGACTTGTCTAACCGTCATACAGGTATGGTGGCGCACAGAAAACATGGATAAACAATGACAACTCTATGTAAATTGGCCGCAACAACAATCGCTATCAGTGTAAAATGTAATTTT